GATGGTTACTATGTGTTCAACTTCTATATTAGACAGAGTTATAATATCCTATAATTCAGATAACCAACTTATTACCTCTCCAATAAGGGTAAGCACGTTAAGATCACCTATAAAACCTAAATAAACATAACATCTAACAATTATTTTTTGTCTTCCAAAACATAATGCAACATTCAATGTTCTAATGGTAAGAATCCTCTTAATGACACTCATGTTTTCCACCATGATTTGTCATTAATCTACTAATTGTTCACACTATTTATCTCATGATTTTATACCGATCATGGTATTCATAAAACTTTCCAATGTTGATACATACAATACTCAAGATATTTTTATCTTCTCCACTTCATTGTTAAGACTCGTACCTTAGGATAACTTACTGGAAAAAAAGTGGGGTAGAAATTGACTTACACCTTTGCATGTTGATGCATCACAAGACCTTTAATAAGTAATTTTTCTGATAAAGTTAAATGTTTATATCTTTTATATTTCAATGAATTTGCATCCTTAAAACCTTCTTTGTCGGTCCTTAGTTCTACATATAAAACTTTCTAGCCAATTGTACCTTCAAAACTTAGATTTGAACTTTATTGGAATCTACCACCAACATGTCATTCATATATAACGACAAAATAATAAAATTATTCTCATCAAATATATTGTAATAGGTATGATAGTTTAAATCAAGTATGTTGTAATTAAGGCTAATTATGAACAATCAAATATCTTGTATTACAATATAGACACTCATTTAGACCGCACAGAGATTTAGTTAACCTACAAATCAAATATCATTTTCTTTAAAGTCTTTTAGTTGGAGTATATCAATTCTCTCTCCAAATTCATCTCGAATAAAAGTAATCATTATCATTGATACAAAATATCTTATCTCTCATAGAAATAATACTATCGATTCCACCATATCAGAATAAATGAAGTCCAATATGTATTTTCTCTTGATAATCACTTTAGCAAACTTCAATCTATGTTATTCTAAGGCAACAACAATCTTTATTGAAAATGCCCTCTTTTGTCACAATGGTAGCAAATAAGATTCTTCCTTCCTTGAAAATTTAATCCATCATGATTTTGACTCCCACTAAAGTCATATTTCATTGATCTACCTCTGATAATTGTCAAAGCTCCTACTTAGTTCATACTTTCATATTTACTTTTTTACCTGTAGTTACAATAATATTCTCCAATTGTAAACGTTCATTAATATTATTATTCGTTATATTGATTACGAGTTGAATTTACAAGTCTGATAAGTTTTGAAGTAGAAGTTTCGCATGATTATTTTTAACTATGTTGAAATTTGGCATTGAAAGTCAAGTCAATAATTTATCCAAATTGTTGATGTGGTTAGTCAGTTATGTGAACTTACTTATTCAAAAAGTATAATGTTCTTTTTTTAATAATATTCTTGTATGAAATGACTTAAATTCATACAATTTGACAAGTGACTCTCAAATCTCCTTTATTATATCATTCTCTACCATGTTAGACAAAACTACTTTTGTCAATATTAAGTACAAATTTGTTATAATTTTGTTATTAATTTATTTTCACCTCTGATTCATGATGACCATTAATTTTTTTCTAATTGCATCTACAAAATTGTGTTTTCTCAAAATTATCTCGCATCTTTAATTTTCACAACAAAAAATTATTTTCATTAAACTTTTTTATCTCATATTTTGTTATCATAGTTTCAATCAACTTATACACTTTTCACTAAGGTGGATTACAAATATATATACTTAAATATCAAATATTTTGTTAAAAAACTTTATACACTACCTCACTCTATATCTAAAAATTGAAATTAATGTGAAAAATGATATTAACTACAATTACAAAACATACACTAATAACTTTCTTTAATGCCATGCTCCTTATATGCTAAGAACTTCATAAAAATATTGAAATATATATATATATATATATATATATATTCAATCTTAATCATTTAAATAACTAATTATTAATGTAAATATAGATATTAAAATATTTATATATCTACATTTTTTATAATTTTTATTTTTATTTTTAAACATATACCACTTTATTTATTATTATATTTTATTATTTTTAAAATTATAAATTATAATAATTATTTTTTAAAATTTATGACTTTTTTCTCAAATAAAAAACAAAAATAAATATAAAAAAATATTCTATTCATATATTATTATAAATAAATAAATAAAATTAATTTGAATTAATTTATTAATTTATAGACTTATTTTTATTTATAACTTTTGTTACATTCTAATAATTGAGATAAATTAATATTTTATATTAGTATATTACTAAAAAAAGTATGATATGAAAAATAAATATTTTAAAACTATAAATGGATATTTTTTGTAATATATACATAATAATAATAATAATAATAATAATTATTATTATTATTATTATTATTATTGTTTACAAATTGTGTGGTCCTTGCCAGCTTTTATTAGGTATTGGTGAGTTGTTTTGATTGGACAAACCGGGTTATATTTTCAAAACGTAGCGTTTTATTTATTTTCTGTGTTTTTTATATGCTTGGTTCTATGGAATCATCCAAACCGCACTTCTTAACAATCAGAAAAGTATTCAATGGACTAGATTTAAATTGGGTTTCGTGTTAATATTTCGTTGGGAATTTTGCAACTTAGTCCCTGTATAAAGTATATTTTGTGACTAAATTATCCTATCATTCTATATACCATTCAAGTTTTTTCTCACGTGTTTTACTATTATATTATATCTTTTCTGTTTTCGTATATTTCACTAATATATTAAATTTGTAATAAAATGTTGATTTATCCAATAAAATAAAAAAATTAAACTTTATTTAAATTAATTAAACTATATTCTTTACAATGACTTAATTAAGATTGTAACTTTCATATGTTTAGAACAATATTAGAATTTTGTATGGATAGTTGAACATAATAATTAATTAAATTAAAAATACAAATTCAAAGATCTAATTAAAAAGTAGTTCAATATCTAATTTTAATTTGTCAAAATGGTCCAAAAAGCTATGAAATAATTTAAGCTATCAAATTTAATCACAGTTAAAAAAACCGGCACAATAAAAACTGAAAAAAAAATTACCAAACTAAACAAATTATGTATAAGTTAAATATTGAAAAAATATATTTTATTATTATTTTATTTAAATTAGATATTAACTTTTTTGTTATTATTTAAAAATAAAAGATATATATTATATTATTATTTTAATTACTAATATATTATTAATATTTTTTTATATATATATATATATATATATATATATATATATATATATATATATATATATGATCACATGCATAAAATAGTATAAAAAATAAGCTTTAGCGCATTATATATAAAAACTAACAAATGATTATCTAATCATATAATAATAATTTTATTTTTTAATAATTATTTTAAAGGTGAGATTTAAAATAATATTAATTGATTAATATTGTGAAAAATCAAACATAAAACTAGTAATTATATGGCATATAATTTTTTAAAAAGTGTATTTACTGTATTAATAAATACGATGAGATGAAAATGGAATATAGATGATTGAAAAAGTAAAAAATATTAATTAGTATTATTTATAATAAAATATCAAGAAAATGGATTTATAAAATTTTTATATTATTTATTTTACTCTGATTGTTATATATACTTAATTTTTTAATATATATTTTTTTAAATATAAGTCACATTCGCGATGTTTTCATTCTAATTGAAATATTTTTATTTATCAATAATTCGTATTATTATATATTATTATTTGTTAAATTTTCAGAAAAGAAACATGGTGATAATATTTTTGGAATCTATTGTATAAAAAAATAAAATACTTTTAACTCAAAATTTTAAGATTTTTATCTAAAATAATTTTTATTTTTTTGTATATGATAAACTTATAATCCGAAAGTGACGTGTCCTTATGCATCAATGTTCAACCCGACAAAATACAATTTTTTAAAATAAGAAATTATAGAAAAATATTATTTTGTCTTTGTTTTAAAATTATTTTCACATCCAACACTAATCTTCTTATACTCTTACATACGAAATATCGTGATAATATTTTTCAATAATTCAGAAACCTATTATGTAAAAGAAGCTAATTGATTTACTTGTTAAAAAAACTATAAATTTAAATGCATTAAAAAATATTATTTTAAATTTGATTAAATAAAAATTTCTCTGGTCTAAAAAGTTATTTATATTTTCTTTTCGCCAGTTCACCTTAATGTTTTTATCTACCTTCCGTGGCATTTATATCTCCAACATGAACAAAAATGAGTTAAATAGATCTTAAACATAGCAATACTTTTGATATTCAGACAAATGAAATCTTTAAGATTTTCTGAATAATTTCTTTTAAAGAACTTAATTTTATTTATTTCTTAACAGTAAAACTAGATTTGACAAGCTAATCTTTCTGGATATACCAATGAGGCTAAACCCAGAAGCTAATCGGTTGGGTACTTTGACCTAACGTACCTGAAAATAGGTTACAAAGAACTATCCATGAAGCCAAACTCATCTTATCAGCCTTAAACAATTAAAGATTTGTTTGTTTTAGAAGTGATAAATTGGAAGATATGTAAATATTATTGTCCTTTGTGTAATCTAAGATAAATTCGAAAAGGGTTTTAGATTCTCGAAGGAGAAAGGAAAAGTGAGGTGGTCGCAGACCCACAATGCCACGTGTCTTCAACAATGAAGATTAGGTTGCTTCAACGTGTGGTCATCACACTCTCCTATGTTCCTTGTCACGTTTCTATTTACAAGTCCCTTCGATCTAGGTTCATCTGATATTTTAGGTTCATCTGATATTTTTCTCCACCTGCAAAATTACAAAAACTTAATTTTCGGTTTTCACCGAAAGGATAACAATAAATAAAGCAACAAGCCACTCGCATTGAGCAATTCTCACTTAGCATTTCCATGAACTTTGCGTCTTCCCCTATTCTATCACCATATCCATGGCCACAGTTGTGAAGCTCCACCTCTTTCCTGAAAGTTTGAACCGACACAGAACGAGGTTGCTGGGGAGGGGCTTTGGCTTGTGCCCTTCTCCTGGGGTGCTTGGTTTTGGTCATAATTGTGATGGGTTCTCTGTGAGACAGTGCAGGGCTTTCAGGACTGAAGATGATGGGGATGTGAAGGAGAAAAAGTCTCGAAATTTGAAGAAAAATGAAGTTAATTCCAAAGGGGAAAATGGGTTTTGGAGTTCCCTCAAGTCTATCTTGTTGAGGAATTTCATGGTGGGTTCAAAATCAGATGATGAGTATCGCCAAGCTGTGGTGAAGGTGGAGGGTTTGCTATCCTCGGTAAGTTCCTGTTTCTGTTGTTCCAACTATTTTGGTATGTTATTGTGTGTATTTTTTTGGTTAATATTGTGTTTTATTGAATGGTAAACATAACTGTGTTTGTGTATTGGCAAAAACAAGATTGCCATTCAAATTGGAAGGTATATTGTGACTATGATGAGCACTGGGGTCATCCTTTCAATTGGATTTCAGATGTCAGGTTGGCCTATATGCAACTTTCCTAGCTGTTAATCTTTTATGCATTGGTTCCCCAAATGGGATGCTAAATTTTCTTGGTTTTGTGAAGGTGGAGACAGTCAGATGGATGCATTGATATGGTACAGTTGGCTAGGAGGAGTAATTATTGGAACAATGATAGGTGCTAACATGGTGTTGGAGGAACATTGTCGTGCAGGTCCGCGTAATGTTGTCATAACAGGGAGGTACAGTTATTTAATCCTCTTCTTCCGAGTGTGATTACCCTCTTTTTTATATTTAATGAAGCTGTGATATCTTATAGATATATATGGTTTGATGTGTAGGATAGAAATTATCATTACATGAACATATGACTTTGTGAATTGTTTTACTTTGATGATATCTAATAATATGTACTAATGTTTTCATGACATTGTTTACTGCATCTTGTTAATGGTTTGTGCAGTACAAGGGGGTTGGGTAAAGCCTTGGCTCGGGAGTTTCTTCTTTCTGGAGATCGTGTGATTGTTACCTCTCGAAGGTGGTGTTTAGAACCATGAGAACATTTTAAAGAGATTGGAATAATATGTTTTGTGGCTTTTGTCTACATTTTACTCACAACATGTTGTTGCTCCCACTCTCTCATTTTGTGAAGGCAGTCTCGAGTCTGTGCAAGCAACTGTTAAAGAGCTTGAGGAAAATCTAAAGGAAGGCATTGCCAATGCAGTTGGTTCATCGCTGACAAAGCTTTCTCATGCGAAAGTGGTAGGCATTGCTTGTGATGTTTGTGAGCCTCATGATGTGCAGAGATTAGCTGACTTTGCTGTCAAAGAACTTGGTTATGTTGACATTTGGGTAAGTGTTGTGGTTGTTGTCGTTGAGCATCGTCAGGTTTCGTGAATAATACCAGAGAAGTGCTTATGGAATCGAACCAATTATGGCTCATACTAATAAAACCTGTACATGAACACTGACTATTGGTTGAAGCTAACAGCTGAAAACTATTAAGGTTTTGTTAGCTGGAAAACTTGCCTATAAATCATAATCTCAAGTATTTATATTCATCCTGGCACTTTCCAATGTGGTGCAGAAATTGAAATATATTAAACTAAGAAAATTTACACCCATTTAATTTTGTATGGTATTTGCATTCTAGTATGGGTACTTAAAAACTAATAAATTGGGTGTCTGTCTGCATGCAATATTTTGATGAAGATTAGCCTTGGAGAAAGGGAACTGATGTGCTAATTGCTTGCTATCCCTTCAATGAAAGTTAATTTTTTCATAGTAGAATGTAGTTTTTATGTTTCTGGTTCTAATGTTTTACATTTTTCATGTTAAAACTATTGTACAGATAAATAATGCCGGAACAAATAAGGGTTTTAGACCATTGCTTCAATTTAGTGACGAAGATATCAAACAGGTATGTGTTACGAATAATATTCTATTTATTTTGCTAAAATTAAATCTTGTTAAGTTTAATAGTGTCATTCATTCAGTCTTGAGACTGAGATGTAAGAGTTTTGTTCCCGAATAATCATTTTTTACTCTTTAACTTGGTTTATAATCGTTGTAGATTGTCTCAACAAATTTGGTTGGATCTATCCTTTGCACACGAGAAGCCATGCGTGTGATGAGAAACCAAGCCAATGCAGGTCACATTTTTAACATGGATGGTGCGGGTTCTGGAGGCTCTAGCACACCTTTGACTGCTGTGTGAGTACCATGCAGTTTCTCCTATGGGAGGAAGCTTGATGATTCCACCAAGCTTTTGCAAAACTCACAGAAATATTTATGTTCTTCAAAGGTCAAGGTGGATGGTGGTTGCTAATGATTCTTACCTATCTTCCTTTTCATTTAACATGTAGATATGGTTCTACAAAGTGTGGCCTTAGGCAACTTCAAGGATCACTTTTAAAGGAGTGCAAGCGATCCAATGTAGGTGTCCATACAGCATCTCCAGGCATGGTTCTTACAGATTTGCTTTTAAGGTATTTCTCTATTGCAAACCTGTTTTAACTTGGTCCTCTGAAGTGGTATTTTATTTTGGTTGGATCGCTTCCTTAGGGCTGCTTTTTTTCCAGTCTTGAACAGTATTTTTTCTGGTGGTCCTCATTGTTCTTACAAGAACTATGCATTTATTTGAAAACAACATAGTTACTAGTTAGTCTCTTTTTCCCCTCAATCAATAAATTTGTTGTGGTCACTTCACATAGCTTTCTATGATCATACCAGTATGACTTCATAAATGTGCTAACTATGTTTTTTCACAGTGGCTCTACTGTCCAAAACAGGCAGATGTTTAACATCATCTGTGAGCTTCCTGAAACTGTTGCTAGAACATTAGTTCCACGAATGCGGGTTGTCAAGGGAACAGGCAAAGCCATCAATTACTTAACCCCTCCCAGAATCTTACTTGCTTTGGTCACTGCCTGGTTAAGGCGAGGTCGCTGGTTTGATGATCAGGTGATGATTATTTTGAGGATGAAATCAAAACATATTATCATGTTATGTTAATACAAACATTCATGTAATTTCAAATATTTATACTTTGTTAAGCCAAACATATTATGATGAGTGTTAATACAAACATTCATAAAAGAAAAAGTCTTAATAATTTCAAATATACTTTGTTCAAAACATTACAATAGCAGCAGGGGGGTGCTGCTGAAGGATTAGGCATGCACATACACATGTGATTGCTTCTACTTGAACACTATCTTTGTTCATCTGACATTTCAGTGAAATTATTGATTTAAAACCAATTTGATTGAACAATATCTTACAGCCATGAGTATGTTTCAGGGAAGAGCATTGTATGCAGCTGAGGCAGACCGACTTCGCAATTGGGCCGAAGATCGGGCCCGGTTTTCTTTCACTGATGCAATGGAAATGTACACGGAGAACACCTGGTTATCAGTCTTCTCACTTTCAGTTGTGTGTGCCTTCATAATTCTTTCCAGCACAGGCAACAATATGCCTGGCACATGATGTCTTGCTGCCAATGCAGATGTGCATCTGCTTTCTGTAGACAGGCAATTGGTGCCCGAAATCAACATAATGGATCTCAATCTAAAACATAAACAAAGTGGATCTGTGTTTTTTTCCACCATGTCCACCCAAAACTATTATCATTTGACACACGTAGTTGTCTGTGACCTTTAGCTCAGCCAATTGGTTCCACATGTACTTCTATGAGCTAAATTTATAGGCTGTCATGCTAGCAGCATTCTTCATTGAGATGCTTATAGTCATAGTGTGTTACTATGTATATAGCCTTCATCGAATTGTAGACAGTAGTGAAATCTCATTTTCTACCCCATATATTTATTTGAATGTATGTTTATCAGGGAGCTTACATCTGAAATTTATATTGGACATTGGACAACACTTTTGGTTAATGCTATGTAAATTTTCTTTTACCATGGTGTAAGTATGAAGTTCTGTTGTTTGTATAATTTATATATCATCAATTAGTTTTGACAGTAATTTGTCTTCATCTGAGAATCTATTTATCAACTAGTTTACGATGTTGGTCAAAACTCAGCATATTTTAAAGATTACTATGCGCTGTTGGAGTCGGTTGCACATGCATTCTGCAAGGAATATGGATTATTCGCATGGTTGTTTCAGCAATCAAATAATTTGGAGCATGTGGTTCTTATCTAAAATCCCTTATAATGTCATTGTTCCTTAACCCAATTCTCAGATTTCAATGATTATGTGTATCTTTACAACGCATATGATTGGTGAGAGTATGAGCAATTTGCTGGTGCACTCCTCCTAGATAAACTTGTTTTATGATCATCTATTATAGAATATGTGGATGAGATGAGACTAATTTGAATACAAATCTTCGTCACATTTAATGGTTCAAAATCAATTATATAAAAAATCAAATCTTATGTCACAATGAGGCTGGCTGACAGGGAAATTTAGAATAAAAAAATGTATAAACAATTCACGGGAATTAAAGAAGCTTAGCTTAAGAAATTACAAAATATGAGTGTTTAGCGTTAATATTTTACCTGAAACTACTTTTTTTTTTTCAGATTGAAATGATCCAAGAATAACTGGACTTTACGTGTTTATTTAGGTTAATTTTAGAGAAATCATTGTTCTTTTTCAACTTCTTGAAAAAATTTATAAAAATATATTTTTTCCCTGAAAAAGATGTCCTTTTTAAACATGTATTAAAAAAAGTTGAAACACTCATGTTCAGATTGTATACGAGTTTGACAGAAAAAGTAAAACGGAAAATAAAAAACATGGACTCGAAAAATACAACATGAAAGGAATTCAAACTCCAAAATTTTGGGCTTTAATTTAATTGTTACTAATTTGTCACATAATTTAAACCTAGTTTTTTTTTCATTTATTTTTTACATTGACAAAAAAAATAGTAAAAAGATGAAGGAGAGTAACTGTGTTTAAGTGAAATATAAAAGTAAATCCTGATTGAATTTAGTAAGAGTTTCAATTTACAATCATTTAATTCAATTTAAAATAAATTAATAAATAATTAAATAAATATTTATATCTTGAAGAGTTAAAGGAGGAAAATATTATTTAATTTTGACTTTTAATAAATATGAAAGTTTTAAATATATTATAAAATTAATCATTTTTTTTTTCATTTTCTTCACATAAATGTAACAACACTTGAAAAGAATAAGTGGGACTAATGAAATAGACACAACATTGAGAGGTGAGTGCTCATCACTGTTCACTTCTTTCTTCTCGTTCTCAGATCTCACTTTATCAAATACTTTCTTTGAATGATAATAATAATAATTTATTATTATTATTATTATTTAGATGAAATATCTATAATTACCCGAGATATTTAGAGAAAATATCTTAACACTAATATTAACTTACTCTAAAATACACGAAAATCACTCCGAAATATTTATACGTTTAACAAATAAAAATAAAATATCTCGTGATGATAACATATTTTCATATAATGAGATTTATTATTATTTTTACCTCATTAATTGATATTTATTTTTTTATATTCGTTAACTTAAATATTGAAGAATCTTTTTAAATATCATTTCATCTGATCGATAAAAAGAAAGAAACTCAGATACCTTCTTTAATCGAGATAACAAATAACAATAATAATAATTAACAATATTAATTATTATATTTTGAAATTTCTAACACTTGATGAATCTCTTTGTTGAAACCAGATATCACATTCACATTGGTGCTTATGACTATATATTCAGAATACATGCATAGCTTAAAAGCATCATACAAAAATGGATACCCTGGCTAGGGTTGGAGCACTTTCTGAGATGACAGCAATGGCATATATGCCAGCCTCGTAACACAACAGAACCTGCGTGTGACATGCCAAACAAATAAATTATAAATTTTTTATTAAGAAAGAGTCAAAGTAAAAACAAAAAGCTAAACAAAGATAATTTTTTCAGGCTCATCCCAGAACGTGCACAACAGCAAACAAATCCTTATCTGATAAAAAATGAAAAAGAAAGAAAGAAACCCTCGAGTCCAAAATAAGAGGAGACAGACATTCGTTTATAGTATATAAATACGTGTTGTACCTGGTTGAACATGGTTTCGAAAGTGGCCCCAGTGAAGCATGCATGTGTTTGTGTTTAGGGTTTTGTTCTTCAATAAACATGATCCATTTTGGGTTAATGAACTCAGTGGTGGGCCTTCGTGTTCCTTTGCTTCAGCCTAAACTCAACGCTACTTTCAAACGTTTCAAACGTCAAATGGAGTATATAATTCAGGTTGGTGTTTAATTAAGTCAAATTCCATTCTATATAAAAGTATAATCACTTAATTATGCTTCACAAAAGCCTACAACAACTAAAAACCTAATTTTTATAATTTTTATTTTCCAGCATATACCTTGTCTAATTTGTTCTTAAAAAAGTACAACTCACATATATCATTTTAAATTTTTTTCAGATATTATTTTTCAACATTTACTTTGTTGTGACATTAGTTTACTTTTGTTTTTCTATGGCTGAAGTAGATTTTTCATAAATAAAGATTTAGAGGTTCTCTTTTTGGGTGATATCTCTGTCAATTATTATTCAGATTCCAAATTTACAAAGAACCAAGTGGAAGTGAAGTGTGAAGAACCATTGATTGTCTTGCCACACTGTTAATTAATCACAAATATCACAAGATTAATTTAATTATGTTGACCTAAATGCTTATTACGTTTTTGACCCAATAAATAATGAATTTACTTAAGTTTTACTCTCTCCCTCCATTGTTTTATCACAAAGCTAGGGCATATATATATATAGCTGGTACACATGCAATTGAATTTCTAATTGCTTAGAATTTTGATAAAGTTGAGAAAAGTGATGACAAAAATTATAATAATAATAATAATAATAATAATAATAAAAAAAAAAAGAGAAAAGAGAAAGTTGACATTTTTATCTTGTTATTGATAACCCCTGTTGAAGAATAATTAAATCATGAAAAAACTAAAACAATGCGTATTTAGAATCCAAAAAAGAAAATTACAGAAACAAATTAAAAGAAAGTGGTTGAGCACAACACAACTGGGTCCAGAGAGTCAAAATCAGACGAATGTCACGGCACAAATTATGAGAGAGATTGGAATCCAAATATAATAATTGACTGCGTTATACACCCCATGTGCCGATGTGATTCTGCTTAGTTTATAACATAAATATATTTTAAAAAGGATAATTATACTGAAATTGTATAAAATAATCATCACTTAAAGTAAATCAAGTTTAATTATAACGTTAATACATGTTGGTGTGAATATGCTTATCTCTAAGAACCAAGGAAAGTGGAAAAAGAAATGGCATGTGAATCTGAGTCCCATTCCCACCTTACAAGAGATAAACACACTAGAAAGTGACCCACCCAAAAAATAAAATAAAAAATGCTTGGTATTCATATATAATGTTTATATATTCGTTCGTTTAAAGCAGAAAGTAAAGAAGTTTTATCAAGAATTATTTAAAAATAAAAATAAATATTTTATTATAGATTTTATGTTTAAAATTTTGTTTGAGTAATTTATTTAAACAATTTTTTCTAATTTTAAAAAAAATTCTCCACTTTTAAATAATTCAAACGTAAATCCATAATAAAATATTTAATTTTATTTTTAAATAACACTTAATAACAACTCCTTTAAATATATTCTTACGTTATTATAATATATTAATTATATTAAAAATATTATTTATTTTAAAATTTTAATTCAAGTAATTTTTTTAAAAGACATTTTTTTTAATAAAAAAGTGTGTATCAATTAATTTTGATCTTAACTCTAAAGTTTCGTAATATATTAAAATATATAATTTAATTATTTTTATTAGTGTTTGATTTTTCCTATAATTCGAAATTAATGTGAGAACCATAATTATAGATAACATTATTTAAAAATTTATATAACAAAAGTAAAAAATGAAAATAAAAATATGTATAACAGAAAGAGGGTTAGACAAACCCATTCTCTTTATTCATAATCAGTGAAAAATGTTTATGTGTTTATCACTACTAGAAAATATACTTTCAACGTCGCCGTTTAACGTCGGTTATATCTTAGCCGACGTTGAACATGCTTTCAACGTCGGTTGGTCAAAAACCGACGTCGAAAGTCGAATTTTGACACATTCTACGTCGTTTTAGCATGCACGACGTGGAAAATAGGCTTTCAACGTCGGTTATACCCTAACCCGACGTTGAAAACCCTTTTGAACTCATTATGACCGATCAGAATACAAATATGACCGATCAGAATCAAATGTGATCGATCAGATTTTAATTATGAGCGATCGAAGTTTTTCAATCGATTAAAAACACGTTTCAATCGATTAAAATCTCTTAAAGTGTCGGGATTCTACGTCAAGTAGGCTTTCAACGTCGGTTATTCCCTAACCTGACGTTGAAAACCCTTCGAACTCATTATGACCGATCAGATTACAAATATGACCGATCAGAATCAAATGTGA